AGATGGCATCATAGAATTGTGCTAAAGATAACAGATTCCATAGAGATTTTTCTGGGCTTGAGTCTGGTTCCACCAGTACCTTTGGACAAATTCTTTTACCTTTCAGGACCCATGTTGAGAGCCTTATATGAGTGAATATATTGAGAGACTTACATAAGCTAATATGTTTAGCAAACATATTTAAAGCACTTAAAACAGTGTGTGGCACAAAGCAGGCACAAGATAACTTTTAGGCACCTGCCTGGTAAATGGGAGCTCTGGTAGCAGAGTGGCTAAGGCACTTGCCTGCTAACCAGACGGCTGGCAGTTCAAACCCACCAGCCACTCCTCAGAAGGAAGTTTGGGCAATCCTACTTCTGTAGTGATACTGCCTCGGAAACCCAAGGAGGAGTCGCTATGAGTCGGGTTTGACTCGAAAGCACACAACAACAACAACAGCCTGGTAAATACAGTTTAGTCAGGGCACCGGTACTGAGTGCTTACTCCGTGTCAAGTACTACAAGGCTCGGTAACATGTGGAAAACACCCATTCTGAGCATTGCCGTGTGTAATCCCAACATCACCCTGCAAGAAAAACATCCTTCTTTTTCTACATTTGCAGAATCTGAGACTCCAAAGCAACCCCACTGTTAAGTGGCAGAGTTGGAATTCAAACCCTGCTTTATCTGCTCAGTAATGAGTGCGGAAGTTGGTGTTAATGTGCAGTCTCTGGCAAGCCGGAGGCATAAACTGTTCCTCCTGTTTACAAATACAGGGGCACACACATGCACACACGCACACATGCATCCACGCACGCAGTATTCAGGTGAGAAACTTCCCCAGTGCCTGCGCCCTCTGCTGACTGTTCTGTGGCAATTTCTGGTTTGAAAGTCACTTTGCCAGAACATGGTTGATGGTGGTTGTGGAAATGACTCAAGCTAACTGGATTCTTGACATGGTGAGATACTAGAAACATTTGACTCTTCTTATTTCCAGTTGTGTGGAATGAAAACAACAGACCTTGCCAAACTAAAACAGATCCACCAGAGGATGTGGAAGAAGCATTTTAAAGTCAGATGCCCTTTTGAAGTAATAAGCAACAAATGGTTTGATCCCCTCAGACATTTACTTTTCACAACTCAGTATCTGGGTGGGGGAGTCTAGTAGAGGGGTACATGGGGGATTTTTGCACCTGTTAGAAATACAATAATAATCCTGGCTGCTAGGGTCCTTGGAGGCAAAATAAAAAAATATTTGCAAAAAGGAAGCACAGATAAGATGTCTCATCAAGTAATTCCTTGCCAATCACATTCCACCCTGTACACGCTCTTCTCTCTTTTTAAAATAAAAGACCTCCAATTTACCACCATTCAGGAAATTGATCTCTCTCTCCTCTCTCTTTCTCACTTCTAGGAAGAAATTCTTAAGTGCTAGACCCTAGAGGGGAGCTCTGGTGGCATAGTGCCTACGGCATTGACTGATAACCAGAAGGCTAGCAGTGCAAACCCCCCAGACACTCCTCCGAAGGAAGACTGGGCAATCTACTGCTGTAGTGATACTGCCTCAGAAACCCAAGGAGGGGTCACTATGAGTCGGAGCCAACTCGACTGCAGTGAGTTTTTTGTGAAACCCTAGAGATCATCCAACACAATGGGACAGTTAAGAGCATCGACTTTAAAGTCAAGCAAACCTGAGTTTGAATCTTGGTTATGATATTTTGTACAAGTTATTTAAACCCTTTTGTGCTTCAGTTGCCTTATCGGTAAAATGGACTTAAAAATAAAACCTACCTAATAGGTTTGGTGTGAGAATTAAATGAGCTAAGCTTGCAAAGCCCTTAGCTCAGAGCCTTACGCTGGTCTATGTCCCCCAAACTGTTCCTTGTTATTATCATCCCATCTAACTTCTTCATTTTACAGAAAAGAAACTAAGGACATATACCCAGTTAGTGACAGAGCCAGGACTAGGTCCAGGCATCCATCTTTCTACTGAACCACACATAGCATAACAGGTTTTCCTTTATTCATCCATTTCAAGCAGAAAGAGGTTGGTAGATTTTCATGTCAGACATGTCATGCTGAGGGTGATGTTGCCTGACCTGGGGCCGAGAGCACCCTGGATTGCTGAAACCCTGACATCAGGAGTCAGTAAGCACAATGGAGAAGCAGTGACTCATGTCCTCTATGACATACTCTGTCTCTGGAGCTAACAAGCCCTTAGAAAGCTGATTTCCAGAGCATCAAGCAACTGTCCTTTTATTATCTGACCTTCTAGGAGTCCTGGTGGTGCAATAGTTAAGTGCTCAGCTGCTAACTGAAAGAATGACAGTTTGAACTCACGCAGTGACTCTGCAAGAAAAAGACCTGGCTGTCTGCTTCTGTAAAGATTACAGCCAAGAAAACCCTATGGGGCAGGTCTACTCTAATCAACTTAGCCACACACAACAGCAACAAAGAAGCTGAAGGTTGAGAAAAGGAAAGTTGGGTAGCTAGTGTCACCACCAACAGCTCTCAATTGTTTGGGAAACCAACAAAACCCCTACATACTGCCAGCCTCCAGCCTCCACTCCACACCTCTGAAGGTCTGCAGACTCCCTCTCAGTCCTGGGGGCTGGGTCATGCCTATACTATACCCACAGGGTACAAATGCCCACATGGTATAATTTTCCATCAATGTTCCTCCCTCTCCCTTTTCTCAAACACACACTCACGCACACACACACAATATCACACACATACACACAATTACATACATGCCTAGGTTAAGTATTCAAAAACTTCTTTGTCCACAGCAACACAAATTGTCCACAGCAATATTTGCTTTCTGCCTGGGAGAAGCCTGTGATCTTCACCCAGGTCAAGTGCAGTTCCTGGTGTCTCTGGACAGAACCTATTTGCTCAGATATATATTCCAACACTCTTGCACCTAACCTTTGTTAAACTTTCCAAATATCAGCCAGACCTCAGGCTCCACACAGACAGTCCAGGCTTTCTCTGCTCCATCAGTGAACAGGTGGCCCAAAGCTATACAGAACTAATCCATTTTTTTTCAAGGTTATACCAGCCAAACCTTCTGCTCTTGGTAAATAGAGGCAATGGGAATGTACCAGAGGCCTGGGATGTGGGAGAGGAGGGAACTATTATATGTATGCTCATTTCAACCTTTTACTTTCTGTGGCAGAAAGATTTCTGGGTTGGAAATTAGAAAGCTTGGGTCCTAATCTTAGCTCTGCCACTAATTGGCCACATGCTCTTGGGCTAGTCACTTCACCTCTCTGTGCCTCAGTTTTCTTATCTGCCCATGTAAGTTGGTTTGCCTAGATGGTCTTTAAAAAGCATGCAAGCTCAATGTTTTTATAATGATAATCTTAGATTGATATGGCACACGTTAATTTTTCAAATATTTCCATATACCTTGCTATTGTGTTGTCAGTTGCCATTGGGGACCTCAATCCATTGTCTGATTTTTGGAAGGAGATCACCAGGCCTTTCTTCCTAGTTTGTCTTAGTCTGGAAAGTCCACTGAAACCTGTTCTACATCATAGCAACACACAAGCTGCCAGTGAAAGACAGATAGTGGCTCCACGTGAGTTACTTGGCTGGGAGAACCTGGGTCTTCACAAGGGAGGTGAGAATTCTACCACCACTACCCTCCATGCATACCTTAAATCCTCCAGAAACCTAATGATGTAATGACATAGGTGGGGTAAGCCTAGTGGTTAGGCAATTATGAGTAAACTATGGCAGAGCTGAGTGCCAACACTAATTATCTGGCCTTCTAGACTTCCCACACTCACTGCTTCTTTGGGGCAGACCTCTCTCCCCAGTGAAAGGTCAAAGGGAAGGGTACCTGGAAAGTGGCAAATGCTAAGGAAGACTTGTTGCCCTGGGCTCAGGGATCAAAGGTCTGGACAATTCTCTTTTTGATGTCCTTTTTAATATTTTGGAGTCCAGGGCAGAACTCAGCTTAGCCCCAGACTCCAAGTTTTCCTGTTTCTTGGGCTTCAGAGATGGTAGGCAGGGCCCACAGCAGTTAAGAGGCTGGCTAGTCAGGGCAGAACTAAATCTAAATCCAAGTCCCCTAACTCCTACTGCAGAATTGGTGCCAACTGGGAGCACTAGCTCCTGTAACTGTGATGGTGGCCTCTGCTGCAATCACTAACAGCATCCTATCTACTTGAGTCAGGTCAGGGGGTAGATTTTCCTTCCCTTGACTGCCCCCTCATTCCCCCTCAGGGCATTCAAGTCCCACTCTGTTCAGAAGGCAAAGTCCACAGAAGAATTATTGATGGGGAGGGGCCTTCACATACTGGGAGCCGTACTAAGTACTGAGTCCCACCTACCCCCAAACCATGTCCTGAGTCTCACTTGATGAGGACTCTACTGTCCTTTGGCACCTGCAGTAGACCCTGTCCCCTCCATGGCCCCACCAGCACTGCCTCCATATTCTCCTCCTTCCTCCCAACTGAAGCTCCATTAAGTCCTTGGAATCTGAAAAACTGATTTCACGAATCCACAGCCAGATCTGTCTACTTCAGGGGCTTTGTGGAGGGCTGGTTTCTCCTTCAGAGTGGACTAGGGGTGGGATAAACTGCCCTTAGGTTACCAGAGGGAATGAGGAGATAACAGGAAATATGGAAAAAGCAAAATGGTCATTATTTTGAGTTAGAACCTTGCCCCATGTATAATGATCCAGCTTTCACTCCTCCTGAGTCTCCAGCCAGGCCACTCTTAGTAACAAGTTGGTAGAGTTATTCCTCAGTGTCCAGGGACACACGGCTCTCCATTAATTAAAAATATGGTTTCTTGGGACCTGGAGAGGATTCAGGGAGAAGCTGAGCTTTGGACAACCTTCTTACTCTCAGGGAGTACACAGAAGCCCAACTTCAAAACCCAGATTCACACTCCCCTCACAGGAGGCAAGAAACCAAGGGGTGCAGGGGAAACGCCCTGCTGCACATGCTGTATTTGCTATGGGCATGGCTATTGACTCCAGAGGCCTTATCACTGGGCCTTCATAGTAGGCTGGGCAGGGCAGTTCTGAGATGAAGGGAGATTCCATTCCCACTGCCCTGTGGGAGAGAAGAAAGGAGGGAGCAAAAAAGGCAGCGGCAGAGTGAGGAAGAAGTTGCCGGGTGGGCCCACAATGAAAACACTCGTCCTTTTGCTGCTGGTGCTCCTGGATCTGGGACAGGCTGAAGGGTCACTTCACAGGTGAGGTCATGTCTCCAGGACCATGTTCAACTGGGGCAGCCCATGCATGCTCCCCAAGTTCAGGGCTGCCTTGGGAGAGGGAAGCTGGTGAGAAAATGAGAAGGAATACAGGGTTTGCATGACTCCTGAGAAAAGGTGCAACAAATGGCCTCCGTAACTTAATCACTAGTCCATAACAAGTCACCCCCACACCCCCCAGTTCCAACAGAGGTACTTGCTTAAGTCCCCAGAGCTTCTTATTTTGATGAAGAGCAGAAACTTGCAGTTATGATTTATGGCCCAAACACCCAAATATTTCTCAAAGGGACTGACCATTGCTTCCCCCAAGACTTTTTAAATCAGTCTATTTAAATCAGAGCTAGTTGGCCAGCATTCATGTGGGTTCATGTGAAACTACAGAGCATCCCACATCCCCCATTGTCCTTGTTGGTGGTGGTAGTGGTGGTTGCTGTTGAATCAATTCCAACTCATGGTGACCCCACGTGTGTCAGAGTAGAGCAGCTGCTCCGTAAGATTTTTTTGTCTGTAATCTTAATGGAGGGTGTCCCTGGATGGCACAAACAGTTAAGCACTCTACTAATACCAGAAAGGTTGGTGATTCTAGTGCACCTAGAGGGGCTTCGGAAGACAGGCCTGGCGATCTGCTTCTGAAAGATCACAGACTTGAAAACCCTACAGAGCTGTTCTACTCTGCACACCTGGGGTCGCCATAATTTGGAATCAACTCGATGACAACCACCACCAACAACAACAATCTTAACAGAAGCAAATTGTCAGGTACTATTGAGTGGGTTCAAACTAACAACCTTCAGGTTAGCAGTTGAACACATAGGTTTGCCCCAACTAAGGACCTTCCCACTGTCCTAGATGATCTTAAAGAGCCCATCTCAGGAGCAAGGCCCATTTCAGCTCCAAGATTCTAAGAATCTATGGGGGCAGCTGACTTCCAGATCTCCTGTGTGATTCTCTATTGTGAACCTATGGGAAAATGGGGCTGGAAAAGGGAAAGGTGCCTCCCCTCGTCACATGGCCTTTGTCTTCAGGGTGCCCCTCAGGAGGTACCAGTCCCTTCGGAAGAAGCTGCGGGCACGGGGCCAGCTCTCTGAATTCTGGAAATCCCAGAATTTGGACATGATCCAGTTCACCGAGACTTGCACCAAGGACCAGAGTGCCAATGAGCCCCTCATCAACTACTTGGACGTGAGGACCCAGGGACAGGGACTGGAGAGTGGCAGGGAGAGGGGAGGAAGGCTCAGCCTCAAGTCATGGCCGGTGTTGGGATGAGCAGTGTTAAAAGCTATTCAGATCATCCCCTGGATCCTATGGACTTTACCATGAGTTAGCTGAGCAAGACTTGCCCCAAATGTGTAGAGTTCTCTGTAGGAGGAAGAGAATGAGAACGACAAACATCTCAAATGGAAGGACCCTGCTTTGTCTTTCAGCAAGGCAACTTACTAGCTGTGTGTCCTTAGGAAAAATACATAACGTCTCCCAGTCCCATTTGCCTGATCTGTAAAGCAGAGGTATTACTGCCTCCTCTGCCTTGTTCACAACACTATTATGAGAATAGGGATAATGTAAGTACAGTAGAAGTAGCCAGGGCCATGATTTGATTTCCTCCCACGTGGCCTTCCCTCTGCTCCTTCTGCCTTTTATTTCCCAGCCTCCTCACTTCCCAGGTTCTGTAAGGTCCAGTCTGTGACGTCTCAGGCTCTTGCCACCAGGGTTTCTCCTACGGCCCCTAGTGAGCACCCTTGCCCTCCCCACCACTCACACTCACAGTCTCTTCCCTTCTCTCCCTTGCCTGTAGATGGAATACTTTGGCACTATCTCTATCGGCTCCCCACCACAGAACTTCACCGTCATCTTCGACACAGGCTCCTCCAATCTCTGGGTTCCCTCTGTGTACTGCAGCAGCCAGGCCTGCCGTAAGGGAAACCAGGGGCCCCTTCAGGGAATGGCTGGGTCCAGTCCTGGGAGGGCAGGGCCCGGTTCTCTGGAGGGTGGGGGCTTGGGTTCCAGAAACTAGCCATCTCTGCCACACCAGCTTCCCTTCTTCATCCTCCAGTCTGCCCTGAAACTGCCTACAACAGAATCAGGACTGGGTTAGTCAGGGAGCTAAAATGTGGCTACTCTCCAAGCTAGCAGTTTTCATACTGATCAGTATTATTAAGGGGAAACTCAATTATTCAAAACAGAAATTTTTGAAGACATGATGACTCATTCCCTTGGAAACACCCAGTAGAATATGGGGGGAAATTACATTCACATGGCTACTTCTTGGCAGGCAGAAATATTTCTGGGTTCTAGTGCAGACTTCTTATAAGAAATAATTATTTATTAAGAAGGAGCTCTGGTAGCATAGTGCCCAAGGCACTTGACTGCTAACCAGAAGGCTGGCAGTTCAAACCCACCAACCACTCCTCCGAAGGAAGGTTGGGCAATCTACTTCTGTAGTGATACTGCCTTGGAAACCCAAGGAGGGGTTGCTATGAGTTGGGTCTGACTCAACAGCACATAACAACAACAACAACAGTGCAGACTGCTTATAAGAAATAATTATTTATTAAGAAATTAATATTATTAAATAAAAAGTTTTTCTGAGTTCTAGTGTTCACCTAAGGAGCTCTGGTGGTGCTGTGGTTAAAGCATTGAGCTAGTAACTGAAAATGTCAGTGGTTCAAACACACCAGCCACTCTGCAGGAGAAAGACAAGGCAGTCTCTTCCACAAGGATTTACAGCCTTGGAAACACTATGGGGATCTCTATGAGTTGGAATCAATTTGATGGCAGTGGGTTTAGTGTTTACCAGCTTTAAGAAGGCTTGTGGCCTATCTCCCAGTATGTCAGAGGTGGGCTAGTGGGGCAGAATTAGAAAGCTCTACAGCAGTATGGGTGGGTCTATTTGGCAATAGGAAATTCAGGAGCCTTGGTGAGTACTGGAAAAGGAAGAGCTGAGGAAAGAGGTCTAGGTCTGTGTAGGACAAGTTCTAGAGGCAGAATGGAGACACCAAAACTAGGACTCCATGAGTGAGCAGTTGGGTGCAATTTCCTGGAATGGCCATCATTTATATCTGAGTTCCTTTTGAAAGCCAGGCTCTGACCCACACTGGTTGGCAGAGACTGCTGCTGGCACATGATAAAGAGTACTTATCTCAGTTTGCCTGATGAGGTCACTGTGGGCAATCACATTTGCCCATGGAGACCTATTTGGTCCCCACCTGGGGCTAGAGGGTAATTGTCTTAGTTTCTTAGTGCTGCCATATCAGAAATAAAACAAGTAAGTGGTGTTTGTGTGTGTGTGTGTGTGTGTGTGTGTGATTTGGGTGAAAATTTACAGAACAAATTCACTTTCCATACAGCAGTTCACATACACTTTGTCTCATGACATTGACTACAACTTACCACAATGCAACAGTTCCCGTCCCACTTCCTCCCCACAGTTACCTCTTCCATGTGTCCTTCCCTCCATGCACTCCTGCCCACCCCCCAGCTCTCTCCCTGTACATACACAGCCCTTCTATTCTCCCATGATTTTTCTCTCCAAGGAGTGTATCTACCTAGTGTAAATGTTCACCTCATATGTCTGTGTTTTGTTTGGCTGGAAGCCACAGGAGTGTGTTCAATTTCAGACCTAAAGGGCAGCTAGGGGTCATAGTCTCAGTGGTTACATCAGGCTCTACACAAGTGAGTGATTTTAAAGAACAGAAATATGTTGTCTCGCAATTCAGAGGGCTAGAAGTCTGAATTCAGGCCCCCTGCTATAGGGAAGGTTCTTTCTCTGTTGGCTCTGGGGTAGATCTTTGTCTCTTTCAGCTTCTGTTGCCTTGGTATTTCTTAGCAATTTTCACATGGCATTTATCTTCCTCAGTTTGTGCTTCCTTCTGGTATCTAAACTACTCTTTTGATAACTAAGAAGTGATTAGGTTTAAGACAGACCTTATATTACTATAAGGAGTTCTGGTAGTGTGGTGAATAAGGCACTTGACTACTAACTGGAAGGTCAGGGGTTCAAACCTACCAGCTGTTCTGCAGAAGGAAGACTGGGCAATCTACTTCTGTAAAGATTTACAGTCTGAGAAACCCAATGAAGGTTGCTATGAGTCGGAAACTACTTGATGGCAGTGAGTTATATATACATACATATATATATCTATATATCTAGATATAGATATAGATATAGATATACAGGTATAGGGGGTAGGATTATAATTTTAGGGGACACAATTCAATCCATAACATAATGTAGTGGCCCACTAGAGAAGGCCAAGGCAGGTCTGTTTAGAGTCCTTCACTCAGTATTGGGAGTTGAGGGAAGGGACCCTATATATGTGGGGCTGAGTGGCATTAGGGCAGGGGTAGAGGCAGTTACCTGATGGCCTAGGCAAGAGCAGTACCCTTGCTTTGCAGAAACCCACCCTAGGTTCCACCCTTCCCAGTCCAGCACGTACAATGAGCTGGGATTTCCTTTCTCCATTCAATATGGGACCGGGAGCTTATCTGGAATCATCGGAGCTGACCAAGTCTCTGTGAGTACAATTTCTTCGTCTTTTCTGTCTTGGCCAGAAAATTGGGAGTCAGACCACAGTTCAGAGCTCTGAAGGGAGCCATTTCAGGAGTGCCACAGGAAGAAGAGGAAATGGGAAAAGTCACCATTTTAGGGGTGGGGCTTACTTCTAGGAGATGGGAAGCCTGGCCAGGCAGGGAGAGCAGCATTCTCAACCTGAGATGGCATCAGTCTGTCAGTCTGCTTGGTACCGGGCCCTAGAAAGGCCTTTCTGGAGGATTCCCATGGGGAAACGGCACAGAGTAGCAGGGTTCATGGCTGGATCTCCAGTCTCAGGAGCACTGAGGGGATAAGACCGGGCCTCCATCTTGAAGGATAAAGAAGCTCAAGCCAGGTGTCAAAGTGGAGACTTACAAGATAAAAGGTGGAAATCCCATTGTAGAGAAAGGCCCCGGATCAGCACTGAACTCAGTGCTTGAGTTTGTGAGCTGCTCCTTACATTCATTCTCTATGAGCAGAGGTTCTACACATCCCAGAACTGCAGGAATTAGATGAATGTGAGGACAGAACCACAAGAGTCCTGATCCTGCCTGAGGCATTTTATCCAGGTCTACATTCCACATGCCTATGGCTTTGGGGAAATAGAGATCAACCCAGTCCTGATGAATTGTTCCAGTTCTGGGATGTCCCAGGGACCAGCAAAGCCCAGCCAGTCTCCACCAACATCTCTTCAGGGTAGCTGGGGTAGGACATATTACTGAGTAAAAAAAAAATCCAGGAACAGAATAAGACTAAGTAAAAAATATGGAGAAAACAATACATTAATTTCTACTGAAACATGTACATATATGATTTATACAATACAAATAATGATTACAAATAATACAGATAATGATTTAGAAGCATACATTCCAAGCTGATCATTGTAATCACCATTGGGAAGCAGGCACCAAGCTGAAATTGGCATGGAAAGGGGAATGGTGGCCGTTAGCTTGTGGCTTATCTGCTGGTTCACCTGGTGGTGTGGTCAGCAGCAAGGTCACAGCTTTGCTAGCTCTGGTTAGTTCCTCCTCTAGTTTTTCTGACTCCTGGGTAGGGTGCATGTTTACCTCTGGGACAGACATACCAGTTCTGCTACAGTACACCCCCATCATTGAGGTTGGAGGCTCGGGAATACTGAGAGAATAAATGGGCTCCAATTCACCCACAACCTTGCAGGTTCACATTTGCCCTTCCTGGAGTTCTGGTGGCATAGTGGATAAGACACTTGGCTGCTAACCAGAAGGTCAGCAGTTCAAATCCACCAGTCGCTCTATGGAAGGCAGATGGGATGATCTACTTCTGTAAGATTTACAGCCTCAGAAACCCAGTGGGGGTCACTATGAGTCAGAATCGACTCAATGGAAGTGAGTTTGGTTTTGTTCTTTTCCTCCTACTTGATGTCTGTTGTCCTTTTTTGACTACCAAATCTGTAGACTTCAGGCTACAGCACCAGAATAGAAATAATAAACTCAAATACACCATTTAGCCTACAACTGCATATAATCAAATACCTATAATGCATTCTTTTTTCATATTTAGTGCCCAATGGTTCTGCTTCTCTTATCAAATCCTGACTTAAAGAGATGCTGAAGGGATGACATGCCAAAATTGTGTATGCAGCTAATGCAGTATTTAAAGGGACAATTATAGCTTAAGATGCATATACTAGAAAGCAGTTATCTAAATTTCTATTTCAAGCCACAAATGAACAAAAAGAACACAAGCAAGCCAGAAATAAACAACAGCATATCAAACCCAAAGAAAATAGAAGGACGGACATAATGAAGAGCAGAACATCAATGAAATAGAAAAGCCACACAACAGAGAAGATCAACAAAGCTAAGAGTTAACTCTTTGAAAAGATTAATAAAATTGGTAAATCTCTAGCATGACTAATTAAGAAAAATTGAGGGCAACTCAACTATATCTGACATGCAAAAGAGAACATTATTAGAGAACCCATGTATATTAACATAATAATAGAAGGATATGAAAAATAATTTTATATTATAAATTTGACAGCTTAAGGGAAATACAACATGCCAAACTCATACAAGAAAAAAAATGGAAAATATGAATACTCCAGTATCTATTTTAAATATCACCTGTTATTTAAACAAAGGAGTTCTGGTGGCATAGTGCCTAAGGCATTTGACTGCTAACCAGAAGGTTGGCAGTTCAAGGCCACCAGCCAATCTGCAGAAGGAAGACTGGGCAATCTACTTCTGCAAAGATTTACCACCTTGGAAACCCAAAAGGGGTTGGCTATGAGTCAGAATCAACTCTATGGCAGTCTGTTTTCTTATTTAAAAATCTTTCCACAAAGAAAACTCCAGTCTCATATAGTCTCACTGGTAAATTCTTCTAAATATTTAAGGAAGAAATTACAACAATCTTACACAAACTTTCCCAGATAATTTATATAGAAGGAGCATTTCACAACTCATTTTATGAGGCCAATATAACATTAGTAACCAAATTTGACAAGGACATTATAAGAAAGGAAAATTACAAACCAATTTTCTTTCATGAACATAGACACAAAATTTCTAAAAAAAAAAAAAAAAATTAGCAAGTCAAATCCTATAATATAAAGAAGGATAATACAGTCTAACCAAGATTCATTCCCTCCCCTGCAGGAATTTGCCACCTAAAAGACTAAAGGAAGAAAATCATATGATCATTTATATTGATGATAGCTAAGGAGTTCTGATGTCACAGTGCCTAAAGCATTTGGCTGCTAACCAGGAGGTTGGTGGTTCAAACCCACCAGCTGCTCTATGAAAGGAAGACGGGGCAATCTACTTCTGCAAAGATTTACCACCTTGGAAACCCAATGTGGTTTCTATGAGGAGGGATAGACTTGATGATGGTGGGTTTTATATTGAAGATCTCTATTCATGGTTTAAAAAAAAAACCTCTTAGCAAACTAGGAATGAAAGATGAGTCCCTTACTCTGATAAGCAATATCTAGAAAGAAGGCTAGAGAAAACTTCAGACTTAATGGTGAATTGTTGAGAGATTTCTCCCTGAGGTCAAAAATGAGACAAGGATGCTCATTTTCACTTCCATTCAACAGCTAGCTGTACTGAGGATCCTAGCTAATGTAGTAAGCTAATAAAGATAATAATAAAATAATAATAATAATAAGGGCATTAGGATTAGAAAGGAAGAAATAACTGTCATTATCCATATATAACAAGCTTTTATGTGTAGAAATTAAAAAATATCTACAGATGGAGTACTGGGATTATAAGTAAATTTAGCAAAGTTTCTGGGTGTTAGGTCAATACACAAAATCATTTGAATTTCTAGCAGGAACAATAAATCAAAAATAAGTTTTTAATGACAGTATTTATAATAACATCATAAACATCAAATACATAAAAGTAAATTTAACCAAAAAATATATATATATAAGAAGGCACTTGACTGCTAACCAGAAGGCTGGCGGTTCAAACCCACCAGCCACTCCTCGGAAGGAAGGTTGGGCAATCCTACTTCCGTAGTGATACTGCCTTGGAAACCCAAGGAGGGGTCGCTATGAGTCGGGGCCGACTCGACGGCAAATAACAACAACAACAACTCTAAAAACTACAAAACATTACTGAGTGAAATTAAAGAAGACCTATATAAGTTGAAGAGAACACTGGTAGCATAGTGCCTAAGGCATTTGACTGCTAACCAGAAGGTTGGCGGTTCAAACCCACCAGCCACTCTTCGGAAGGAAGATTAGGTGATCTACTTCCGTAACAATACCACCTCAGAAACCCAAGGAGGGGTTGCTATGAGTCAGATCCAACTCGACGGCAGTGAGTTTGGTGTTTTTGGTATGTTAAGTTAAAATATAAACTTCACTCATGGATTGCAAGAAACAGTATTACAAAGAAATCAGATTTCTCCAAATCAATCTATAGAATCAGTATTTCCCAATAAAAACAAGATGAGTTTGTTGTTGTTGTTGTTTAGAAATTGACAAGCTGATTCTAAAATCTATATGGATAAGTAATGTACCAAGAATAATTAAGACAATCTTGATGAAGAACACTGACAAATATAAAAACCTACTATAAAGCTAAGAAATTTAAATAGTGTAGAATTGGCAGAATGATGGATGAATACACAGATAGAACTAATTCTAGAAAATTCAGAAACTTCCCCTACAGTCACCTGATTTATGTTGGACATGATACTGCAGTATAGAGAGGAAATGATGGCATATTTATTAATTGATGCTGGGTCAATTGTATATCCATATAGGAAAAAATAAATCTTGATCTCTACTTCACACATCATTAAACTTCAGATTGATTATAGATCTAAATGTTAACAAAACAATAAAACTTTCAGAAAAACACACAAGAAAATACCTTCATGACTTTAGGGTAGGTAAATTTTTTTGAAACAATCACAAAAACTACTAATCATAAGAAAAAAATTGACATTTAGCTACATTACAATTCATATCTTCTGTTCACTACAAGATGCTATTAAGAGAGTAAAGATACTAGTCATAGTCTGGAAGAAGATATTTGTAATGCATATATCCAACTTGATTCCAGAGTATATAAAGAACTTTAAAAAATCGATAAGAAAAATGCAGACTGCCCACTTCACAAAAGATAATATCCACTTTCATTAGTCATCAGGAAATACAAATTAAAGCCACAATGCAACCCACTAAATATTCATTAGAATGACTAAAATGGAAAAGATAAGTAACACCAAGTGTTGGTGAGGATATGGGAACAATTGGAACTCTCAAAACATTGGGATTGGGAGTGTCAATTGGCACAAACATCTGGGAAAACTGTTTGGCAGTATCTTTTAAAGCTAAACATTTGCATACACTATGATCTAACAATTTCACTCCTAGGTATATATCCAACAGAAATATGGAGATTACGTCCAACAAAGGACATGTACAAGAACACTATTGTTGTTGTTGTTATGTGCCCTTGAGTTGGACCCGACTCATAGTGACCCCTCCTTGGGTTTCCGAGGCAGTATCACTATGGAAGTAGATTGCCCCATCTTCCTTCCAAGGAGTGGCTGGTGGGTTTGAACCGTCAGGCTTCTGATTAGCAGTCAAGTGCCTTAGGCACTACGCTACCAGAGCTCCTATACATAAGAACACTATTAGCAATAGTCAAATACAGGAAACAACCCAAATATCCATCAATGACAGAACAGATAAGTAAATGGTGATAAATCAGATCATGAAATACTAATGATAATAAATAAATTATGATAGCATTGCAATAAGCATAATGGTGAGTGAAAGAAACAAAATATAGAAGAATTCATACTGTACTATTCTATCGATACAAAATTCAAAAATAGGTAAAACTAATATATGCCCTTAGAAGTCAGGAGACTGGGTACTCTTGAGGAGAGGTTAATGATTGGAAGGGAGCAGGAAAGGCCTTCTGGGTTGTGTAATGTCCTGTTTCTTGACTTGGGAACTGGTTACATGGGTGAATAGCTTGTGAAAATTCATTGAATTATACACTAATGACTTACGTGTGTGTATTATATTTCAACTAAGTTTATATTTTAAAAAGTAAAGTGGGTGGGAATATGGCCAAAATCTTCATGTTCATTTAATCCAGAAAAATGGAAAGGGGGAAGAATTAGCCTCCAGACAGAAAGAGAATCCAGGAATCTTCAGCAATTTCCTTGTGCAATTCTCCTTGGCTTTCTCCCAACAGGTGGAAGGACTGATAGTGGTCAACCAGCAGTTTGGAGAGAGTGTCAAGGAGCCAGGCCAGACCTTCGTGGATGCAGAGTTTGATGGAATTCTTGGCCTGGGATACCCCTCCTTGGCTGTTGGAGGAGTGACCCCAGTGTTTGACAACATGATGGCCCAGAACCTGGTGACTCTACCAATGTTTTCTGTCTACATGAGCAGGTAAAGCCCATCAAGCCCACTAGGTTATGGCCAGTTATTACTACAGGGAGACAACATGGTGCAGCTGAAAGAGCACTGGACTTAGCTGTCAAAGGATCTGGTGTGGATCTCTTGCTTGGTCTTTTATTGTGTGACTTAACTTCCCTGAATATTGAGGAAATGGGGATTTACCTCATAGAGGTGATGTGAAAAGCACTTTGAAAACCTTAAAACACTGAGCTAATTTAAGGACTCCCTGGGGTCGGTTATTCATTTATTCAGTCAATAAAAATTTATCAAGCTCCTATTATGTGCTAAGCACCATGCTATCTAGGCACTGGGAATACAAGAAAATAAGAAAGACATAATCACTAACTTCAAGAAGCTTAATTCCAGTGGGGGGAGGCAGAAAAAAATAAAGGTAAGATAAGAATAAAATAATTATATGTATGTTTTATAACAACAAAGTGAAAAGACAACCTATGGAATGAGAGAAAATGTTCAGGAGACTAATATCTAAAAAGGATTTAATATCTAGAATATATAAAGAGCTCCTACAACTCAACAACAAAACAAACAACCCTATCAAAAAATAGACATAGGAAAAAAAATGGGCAAAGAACTCGATTTGATATTTCATCAAAGAAGACATGTCCAACAAACATATGAAAAGATTTTCAGCATCTTTAGTCATTGTTGTTGTTGTTATGTTCCATCGAGTCGGACCCGACTCATAGCGACCCCTCCTTGGGTTTCTGAGGCAGTAACACTACAGAAGTAGATTGCCCAACCTTCCTTCCGAGGAGTGGCTGGTGGGTTTGAACTGCCAGCCTTCTGGTTAGCTGTCAAGTGCCTTAGGCACTATGCTACCAGAGCTCCTCTTTAGTCATTAGGGAGATGCAAATCACAACTGCAATGAGGTTCTTCTTCACCACTATAAAACCACTGCCACTGAGTCAATTCTGACTCATGGTGACCCCATGTATGTCAGAGCAGAACCATGTTCCACAGGGTTTTCAATGGCAGATTTTTTGCCCATCACCAAAAATAACAAATCTTTACTACCTAGAAGTGATTCTCCCCTACTGTTCCCTCCCTTCCCTGATAATCATCAAAGAACATTGCTTTCTGTGTGTATATCAATTCTTGACTCTTTATAATAATGCTGACTTTTTGGAAGTAGATCACCAGGTCTTTCTTTCAAGGTGCCTCTGGATGGACTGGAATCTCCAACCGTTTGGTTATCAGGCGAGCGCATTAACTGTTTGCACACAGGGACTCCTCACACCATTTGTTGAAATCAACAAATGTTGCCAAGGATGTGGAGAAACTAAAACTCTCATCCATTGTTGGTAGGAAAGTAAAAGGGCATAGTTGCTGTGGAAAACAGTTTGATGGCTCCTCAAAAAGTTAAACCTAGAATTTTCATGTTGTAGTTAGGTGCTGTCAAATCAGCTCTGACTCATAGTGACCCTGTGTACAACAGAAGAAAACACTGCCTGGTCCTGTGCCAGCCTCACAATCCTTGCTATGCTTGAGCCCATCATTGCAGCCACTGTGTCAATCCATCTTGTTGAGGAACTTCCCCTTTTTTGCAGACCCTCTGCTTTACTAAGCATGATATCTTTCTCTGGGGACTGGTCCTTTCTGACAACATGACCAAAGTAGGAGAGACAAAGTCTGGCCATTCTTGCTTCCAAGGAGCATTCTGGCTGCACTTTTCCAGGACAGATTGGTTCATTCTCTGGCAGTCCATGGTATTTTCAGCATTCAGAATTACCATATGACCTAGCAATTCCACTCCTAGGTATTCATGCAAAAGACTTAACAACAGGAACTCAAACAGATACTAATACAGCTATATTCATTGCAGCACTATTCACAATAGCCAAAAAGTAGAAACAACTCAAAAGTCTATCAACAAATGAATAGATGAACAAGATGTGGTATACACATACAATGGAATATTATTCAGCCATAAAGAGAAATAAAATTCAGATACATGCTACAATATGGATCAACCTTGAAAACATTAGGCTGTGTGAAATAAGTCAGTCACAAGAGGAAAAATACTGTTTGATACTATTTATATAAAATATCTGGAATAGTAAATGCACAGAGACCAACGTTTACTAGTGATTAGAAGGGAGGGGGCTTACGTGTTGCTCTGATGCTAGAAGCTATACCACTGATATTTCGAATACCAATAGTCACTCATGGTGGACAGGCTTCAGTGGCGCTTCCAGACTAAAACAGACTAGAAGGATGCAATGATCTACTTCAAAAAAAATTGTCAGTGAAAACCTTACGGATAGAAGCAGAACATTGTCTGGCATAGTGCTGGAAGATGAGCCCTTCAGGTTAGAAGGCACTCAACATATAACTGAGGAGGAGCTACCTTCTCAAAGCAGAGTAGACCTTAATGACATGGGAGGAGTAAAGCTTTCAGGGCCTTCGTTTGCTGATGTGGCATTACTCAAAATGAAAAGAAACAGCTGCAAATATCCATTAATAATCAGAACATGAAATGTACAAAATATGAATCAAGGAAAATGGGAAGTTTTCAGATAGATACATTCCTTAGAATGATCAATCATGGGAGAACAGAAGGGCAGTATTTGCACAGGGAGATAGCTCAGGGGACAGGAATGCATAGGAAAGAAGGAAGAAAAATTAAAAATTTACATTTAAATAGAATACTTGAAGATCAATATCCTAAGCATTAGTAAGCTGAAATGGGCTGGCATTGGTCATTATGAATCAGGCAATCATATGGTCTACTATGCCTGGAATGGCAAATTGAAGGGGAATAGCATTGGATTAACCATCAAAAAGAATATGTCAAGATCTATCCAGAAGTCAACACTGTCAGCCTTAGGATAATATCCATATACCTACAAGGAAAACTAGTTAATACAACTGTTACTTATATTTATGCACTAACCACTAATGCCAAAGCTGAAGAAATTGAAGTGTTTTACCACTTTCTGCAGTCTGAAATTGATGAAACATGCAATCAAGATGAATTAATAATTGCTGGTGATTGGAAGTTGGAAATGAAGAAAAAGACCAGTAGTTGGAAAATACAGCTTTGGTGATAAAAAGGATGCTGGAGATCACATGATAGAATTTTTGCAAGACCAACAACATTTTCATTGGAAATACCTTTGTTCAACACCATAAATGGCAACTATATGTGTGGACCTTACCAGATGGATTGCACAGGAATCAAATTGACCACATCTGTGGAAAAGATGATGAAACAGTTGAGTATCATCAGTCAGAACTAGGTCAGGGGTTGCCTGCAGAACAAACCATCAATTACTCATATGCAAGTTCAAGTTGAAGCTGAAGAAAATTAAAACAAGTCCATAAGAGCCAAAGTACAACCCTGGGTATATGCCCCTGAATTTAGAGACCATATCAAGAATAGATTTGACTTATTGAACACTGATGATCAAAGACCAGATGGGTTGTGGGATAACATCAAGGGCATCATACATGAAAAATCCAAAGGTAATTAAAAAGGCAAGAAAGAAAGAAAAGACTAAAATAGATGTCAGAAGAGACTCTAAAACTTGCTACTGAATGTAGAGTACTATAATGAATGGAAGAAATGATGAAGTAAAAGATCTGAAGAGAAGATTTCAAAGGGCAACTCTAGAAGACAAAGTAATCTATTATAATGAAATGTGCAAATGTTGAAGGGCCAGAGAAGCCTTTTGCTGAGAAATTGCAGAAGTATAACAAACTAACAGACATAATTAAAGCAGACATTGATCACAAAGATTAATTTTCCATATTTTCCTTCCCCTCTCCTTCCTTCCATGTAAATAGAACAGCTGACCCTTTCATAGACAATAATTCCTTTAGGATTGTTTTTCTGCTTACATATTCCTTTGAACATATGGCTTACCCCTATGACCTATTTCAGCTGATAACTATGGTTTATGGGGCAAGATAACCCTGAAAAGAGAGACACTGAGTTTGGAGCAACCAAGATAAAGAGGAAACAGAGATATTCTTAGCAGTCTGAGGAGGCTGAGTGCACCCACTCCCACATCCTCCCCTCCTTCTAGAGTTAATCTTTCCAGACAAGTATGAAGAGTTTGCAAAACAATTCTGACCAAGGCCAGTTCTACATCACTGACCAGAACAATAACAAAGTTCACAAGGAAGAGATGACTCATCCCAATAAGAAGGAGAAGACATTATCAGCATTCCTCAAACCTCCTTAGACCAGCTCTCTTTAAAAACGCTTATCTTTTCTCAGCTCAAGGAGACAGACTTTTTAGAGAAGAGATTCTCTCTGTCTCCTTAAGTATTGATACTCAGCAAATCTTGCTTTTCCATTTCAACCTGTGGTAGTCATTGGCTCTACTCGTGGCAGGTGTTAAGAACCTTGTTGTTCCTGCATCACAAAGACCTGGAGTTAGAAAACCAAAAGGGAAAAAAAGAAATGCTCAGCATTTCTCAAGCTGAAAGAACTCAAGAAAAATTTCAAGCCTCAAGTTGCAATATTGAAGGATTAATTATATGGACAAAATATTGAACAACATAGGAAGCATCAAAGAAGATGGAAGAAATACACAAAGTCACTGTACCAAAAATAACTGATCAGTGTTCAACCATTTCAGGGGTAGCACATGATGAAGAACCAATGGTATTAAAGGAGGCAGTCCAAGCTGCACTGAAGGCATTGACTAAAAACAACACTCCAGGAACTGATGGAACATCAGTTTAGATGTTTTAAAAAATGGATACAATGCTTGAAAGACTTCTCCAAAAGTGTAAAAAGGGAACCTACAGATTGGGAAAAGTATTTGGTTATGACATACTTGACAAGGTACTTATCTCTAAAAGTTATAGAAAACTTCTACACCTCGACATCAAAAAGACAAACAATCTAATTCAAAACTGGGCAAAAGACATGAACAGGCACTTCACTAAAGAAGATATACAGGCAGCCAACAAACACATGAGGAAATGCTCATGATCATTAGCCACTGGAGAGATGCAAATAAGAACAATGACATATCATCTCACTCCAGCAATAATAGCAAAGTCCAACAAGGCAGAAAATAACAAAAGCTGGCAGGGGTGTGGAAAGATTGGAACTCTCATATGCTGCTAATGGGACTGTAAAAATGGTACAGCCACTGTGGAAAATGGTATGGCATTTCCTCAAAAAAAAATTGGAAATAGAAATACTATTTAATCCAGCAATTCCACTACTAGGAATATATCCTAAAGAGGTGAGATCCAGGATATGAATAGACACATGTACACCCATATTCACTGCAGCACAATTCTCTATACCAAAGAGATGGAAACAACCTACATGCCCATCAGCAGCTACCTGACCAACTGACTGGAAGAGATCCATATTTATGCCCATTCCAAAGAAAGATGACCCAACAGGATATGGAAATTATTGAACAATATAATTAAAATCACATGCTGTACAATTTTGCTGAAAATAATTCAAACATGGATGCAGCCATACATCAACAGGGAACTGCCAGAAATTCAAGCCAGATTCGGAAGAAGACATGGAACAAAGACTATCATTGCTGATGTCAGCTCAATCTTGGCTGAAAGCAGAGAGAAAGGTTCACCTGTGTTTTGTTGACTATGCAAAGGCATTTGACCATGTGGATCATAACACATTATGGACAGTATTGTGAAGAATGGGAATGCCAGAACACTAAATTGTGCTCATGTGGAAACTGTATGTAGACCAAGTGGCAGTCATTTGAATAGAACAAGGGGATACTGCATGGTTTAAAATGAGGAAACGTGTGCATCAGGGTTGTATCCTTTTACCATACTTATTCAATCTGTATGCTGAGCAAATAATCCGAGAAGCCGGACTATATGAAGAATGCAGCATTAGGATCAGAGGAAGAGTCATTAACAACCTGCACTCTGCAGATGACACAATCTTGCTTGCTGAAAGTGAAAAGGACTTGAAGCACTTACTGATTAAGTTTGAAGACTGTAGATTTCAGTATGGATTATACTTTAACATAAAGAAAACAAAAATGTTCACAACTGGAACAATAAACAACATAGTGGTAAACAGAGAAAAAATATTGAGGTTGTTAAGGATTCCATTTTACTTAAGTCCACAATCAACACCCATGGAAGCAGTAGTCATGAAATCAAATAACATGGCATTGGGCAAATCTTCTGCAAAAGACCTCTTTAAAGTGTTAAGAAACGAAGATGTCACTTTGAAGACTAAGGTGTCCTGACCCAAGCAATGCCATTTTTAACTGCCTCATATGCATGAGAAAGCTGGACAGAGAATGAAGAAGACCAAAGCAAAATCGATGCATTTGAATTATGGTGTTGATGAAGAATATTGAATATACCATGGACTTCCAGAAGAACTTCTTGGAAGAAGTTGCTCATTAGAATGCTCATTAGAAGCGAGGATGGTGAGACTTTGTTTGGACATGTTATCAGGGAGGACCTGTTCCTGGAGAAGGACATCCTGTTTGGTAAAGGAGAGGAAAAAGAGGAAGATCCTCAATGATATGGTTTGAGACAAAGACTGAACAATGGGCTCAAACATAGCAACTACTGTGAGGATGACACAGAAAGTTGTGTTTTATTGTATTATACATAGGGTCACTGAGTAGGAATGGACTGTACAGCACCTAACAACAACAACAACCAGGGATGGGTGGAGGTGGGGGTGGGAAGGGGACAGTCATTGCATAAGAAGCACTGAGTTTCTGTTAAGGGCGATGCAAAATTTGGAAATGAATAATGGTGATGGTTATATAACATGGTGAACATAATTAACGTCAGAGAACTGTACATGTAAGGTTGAATGTCTTATGAATATTTTTACCACATTGTAGTTGGAAAAGATTAGGAGCTCATCTGCTTCTGGGTACTTTTGCCTGAAGTTCTAGGGGACATTCAATCCACCCTCCTTAACTTTGTCTAGAACTCTTTCCCCATCAGACCAGAGCAAAACCATTTCTCTTGTCCCCCTCTCCCATATGGAGAGTCTTGCATTTCCTGTCTCAAACTGTCTTTCCTCTCCTGTGGCTGTGAATGGGACCCATCCTAGGCAGAACTGTGAGTAAGTGGGGAGGCAGGGAGGAGGGGAGGCAGGTTCTCTGGACACATCTACTTCCTCCTTTCAGAGCTCCTTGCTTCTTTTTAGCCTGGGAAGAAATAAGCAGTGGGAGAAAAGAGCAAGGGCCTTGTACTCAGACACACCTGGATTTAAATCCTACCACTTACTTTACTCTGATCCTCAATTTCACCTAAAGGATATTAATTAAGCCAATGTGAAAATTTAATAAGCCAAAGTAAGTAAAAATTCTAGCATAGTGCCTTGCACAAAATCAAGCAACGTTTGTTCCTTTCCCCACAAAGAAATCCAGTTCCCTTCCGCTTTGCCACCCTGCCATACAGCACCCTAAATTGTGTGTTTTTCTGATCTCTTTCTTCCTGAACATGAATATATCTTCTGTTCCATCTCCCCAGGAACTTGCTAAATGCCAGGATATAACCTAAGAAGTCAATACCAGCAAAAATTACTAAATATTCAAGTTTTAATAAGTTATGTTTGCATTCAAATTTGCTTCTTTGCCTTAACACAAAGGAGTGAACAATATGGAAACTCCAGGCACCACCACAGCCATAGTGGGGAAGGCACTTTGGGACAAGATATCTTTTGGGGGTGTCTCAAGTCACACTGTGTGTCCACATACTCAGGATGGTCCTGGCCTTGGCTCTTCTTGGGTGTCTTCCCAGACCTGTTGTCCCCTTTTCTGACCTCACTAGTCCTTTTATCCCAGAAGCTGGGAGACATTGTTGTTTCCTACTCATATGCCAAAATCAGTTGCAATAGTTGAAAGGCTTGGTCTCAAACCCCAGGCTGAGAATTCTGCCTCTCTAGGTACTTGATGTGAGTGACCAGACCAAGAAGCAAAGAGTCCTAGTTGAGGCTCACCCCTGGAGCTTTCCAATGGTCCCTCCTTGACAATTTGTCTTTCTTTCCACATAGTGACCCAGCAGGTGGCAAAGGAAGTGGGCTGATTTTTGGTGGCTATGACCACTCCCATTTCTCTGGGAGCCTGAATTGGGTTCCAGTCACCAAGCAAGGCTACTGGCAAATTGCACTGGACAAGTGAGTATCCTCCACGAGATGATTATGACATGAAGGAAGAAGCCATACCAGGTATAACTCAGACTGAATGAACAGAATTGATCTGAATGAAACTGTTGATTACAAGGACAGGGTGTAGACAGCTCTCAGCCTGATGTCAGAGGTATAGAGGGGCTGAACAAAGGTGCAGTACCAGGGTTGTGGGCACACAGTTCCAGCTTTCAGCTCCCTTCCTGTGCATGTACCCCTTCAACTTCACACAGGACAACAAGCAGCCTACCACTCTGCTCATTCAACCATTCAATACAAACTAAACACACAAGACAAAGGCAGAGTGCTAAGGGGAATGCCAAGGTGAATTGGACTCTCATTTTGCCTTTACATAGCTTTTATAGAAGACACATGTACCAGATCACTACCAGGTAAGACTGAAGGTGGCCAGTGCTCCAAGAGAGGAGCCACCAAAGTGCCCAAGCAGACAGGCCAAGATAGCTACTATCTAAGAACCCGACAGAGCTTCATGGAGGGGTTGACATCACATCTAGACTTGGAGCAACCAGGGAAGTAAGACCAGATACTTGCCATATACCTAGCACAATTCAGGAAATAATGAAATGTTATTCAAGCTTCAATTCACCCAAGCATATGTTCCTACAAGGTGCTGGGCATGAGCTAGGCAGTAGGGATGCAAAGTAAAAAAAAAAAAAAATCCAACACTTACTCTACTGTGGATTTTTCACACTATAGGGATTTAACCATTAATGAGGCATGACATCATTTTAAGGGATCATGACTTACATTTTTTTAATGAAATGGAATAAAATGGAAAATAATACTTATTAAAGTTAAGCATTACTTCGTGAAATTTTTGCTTCAATTGTGTGTATGTGTGTGTGTGCACGTGTGTGTGTTGAGTCAAGAAGTAAGCGTATTTCTCACTATAGATCTCAGTCCAAAAACTGAGAAACACTTATCTGGTGGGAGAGACCAAAACAGAAATCATTCGTGATGCTTCACTGTGCTAACAGGAGCCCAACAGAGAGTTAAAGCTGCCCGGGGAGTAGGAAAGGCTTCTGGGGGGCTGACCATGCCCCCTTTTCCTTCAGTATCCAGGTAGGAGGCACCGTGATGTTCTGCTCTGGGGGCTGCCAGGCCATTGTGGACACAGGGACCTCCCTCATCACAGGCCCCTCAAACAACATCAAGCAGCTGCAAAAGGCCATTGGGGCAGAGCCCATGGATGGAGAAGTGAGTACCTGCCTGGCATGGAGAGGGGCTGGGAGTAGGAGAGCTATGCCCTCTTTTGGGAGATGGGAAGCCTCTAAATGGATGCTCTGTGCTGTGTTTTAGTATGCTGTAGAGTGTGCAAACCTCAACGTCATGCCAGATGTCACCTTCACCATCAATGGAGTACCCTACACCCTCGGTCCAACTGCCTACACACTGCTGGTAGGAATTGTTTCCTGATTCTGCAAGTCATAGGGCCTTCCCCACATGCCTGCCACTTCCCTTCTGCAAACAGTCATCTGCACTCAGGCTGCATTTACCCTAACCCCCACTCCTACCTTGGCCTGCTCTGACAGGGTGATCCCTCTAGGAGGGATGCAGCTGCCTGTGGCGTAAAGACCACTGACTGGTTCTGTCCAATTCCATCATGCAGCAGAGAACTGCAGACAAGCCTTTCTGAATGAGGTTTCTTGACATTGCCATGTCGGACTTCTGATAAAGTCTAATCCTTTCAACCATCAAGTTAGACTGGAGAGATTATTACACCATTTCATAGATGAGAATATTGAGACTCATAGTTAAGTACTTGGTTCAAGATATGAGTTGCTTGAGAATACAGAATAAGGTTCAATGTCTTCTAACACTCAAATTGACATTCTCCCCAAACAAGAAAATGTCTTTTGTTGAGTAGATTAACAAATTTGGAGGGCATTTTGGAAACTTATGGTCACTTTGCACCAGAGCTGGCCCAGATTTTCAATAGCAAAGTTCTTTGGCTTCATACTTAAGAGTCACCCACAGCATCAGGGTGACTGTAACAGAACAGAGCGGTTAGCCTCACTTCTCACACTTTGGTTGTCATTAACCCCTTCCCAAAAGCCACTGCAAATATAAACAGACAATCTAAGTGGAAAGAAAAGTTTTTCTTTAAAGCACAGCTTCATGGTAAATCCTCTAATCTCCAACAAAGGAATTTAGGAGTTGCCACTGCAAGCACCATACCCAGAAATAACCTCCCGGAATACAAGCTGGACAGTTAGATAGAGCCAGATTAATCAGCCTACATATCTCTCACCACTCCACCATTTCACTACCATCACCTTCACCCTACATGAGTCCTGACCACTCCCATGCCTTCCCTGCTCCCAATATGGTAGCTCTGGCCTTTCCCGCAAGCAAATTTCAATCAGAGTCACCAAAACCAGCAAAGATGCTGTATTGACTTTGAACTTTTAAGCCCTACCTCCTAAAAATGATTTCCTAGTCCGTATGTGAATCCCCTCCCCCACCAACCAATAACCTTAAATTTCAAATGATTGTTGGAAAAAAAACACAGATGCCTGGTAGACCCCAAGTCGTAAAACAACATATAAAAGGAGGAGGTTCATTAAACTCTTCACAAACCAGTGAGTGCCTACTTGCCTTATGGCTAAAAGGGGCTGCTCAAATGATTCTTCCCAGGACATCCATAGCAAATAGCTCTGGCTAGCCTCTTTTAGAGTACTTTTTCGGCCTTAAAAAAAAAAAAAAAAATTAAGGTGGGTTTCATAGAAACCAATGAAACCAATTTGAACCAAGGTCTTCTAGTGCCAAATGTTTTCCTCTTTCATCCACACAACAAGGCTTCAGCTCTCCCAATTGTAAAATGGGGGAGGACTGTATAACAAATAAACAGTTTTCAAAATTGTGGAACTTAGAAGCCCAGGCTCATATGCACGAACTTGTGCAAGCACACTTTGTTGAGTAAAGTGGAGTAGGAGTGCAGGAAGTGTGAGAAAAAATGAACCAGCCAAAATGTAAAACAGCCATCCAAGGTCATTCAGGACCATCAGACACTGTGACAAAGGAGTGCCTGTAGGCAGGACTACTGTCCTTCTTCCTCTGTATGCCACTAACATGGTTCTTTCTAATCCCAGGACTTGGTGGATGGAATGAATTTTTGCAGCAGTGGTTTTCAAGGTCTTGACATCCAGCCTCCAGATGGGCCCCTCTGGATCCTGGGAGATGTCTTCATTAGAAGATTTTACTCAGTCTTCGACCGTGGGAATAACCAAGTGGGGCTGGCCCCAGCAGTCCCCTAAGGATGGGCCTTGTGTCTGTGCTTGCCTGCCTGACACTCCTTGGAAATTCAGCTGAGCCTGTTAGATTGGGACATCCTTCACATCTGTCAAAAAGTCATTGTGCATAGACTACAGATTCTCCTAAACTACAACTTGACCTTGGACCAAATAGAGCATGAGGACACCCATATACATACACATTCACATATACACAATACACATACTTGCCCATACACACCATATCTATTATCATTATGATAGAATGATTAAATTGTGTGTCCATATTTTGCACTGTTAATTTTATATTATAGATATCTCTAACATATACACAAGTAGCAATTGTTGTTAGCTGCTTTTCTGTTGGCCCAACTCGTGGTGACCCTGTACACAACAAAACAAAACACTACCTGATTCCACACTATCTTCATAATCAGTTGTAGATCAGACAATGTTCCATTGTGATCCATAGGAGATTTTTGCCTGATTTGAGAAAGTAGATGGCCAGGCCTTTCTTCCTAATCTGTCTTCATCTGAAAGCTCTGCTGAAACCTGTTCAGCATCATAGCAACACTCAAGCCTCCACTGACAGACAGGTAGTGGCTGTGCCTGAGGGGCATTGGCTGGAATCAAACCCAGGTCTCCTGCATGGAAGGCAAGAATTCTTCGACTGAACACCAATGCCTCATCAACAGAGGTTACAGTACAATAACTCCAGATGCACTCTATCTAGCTTTAACAACCCATCAGTGCAGCCAGATTTGTTTTATTTACACTGTTAGCCACTCCTCTCCCCAGCTCCACATACACTGGGTTATTTTGAAGCAAATTCCAAGTGTTATGGACAGAATTGTTGTTGTTGTTATGGGCCGTCGAGTTGGACCCGACTCATAGCGACCCCTCCTTAGGTTTCTGAGGTGGTATCACTACGGAAGTAGACTGCCCAAACTTCCTTCTGTGAAGTGGCTGGTGGGCTTGAACCACCAGCCTTCTGGTTAGCAGTCAAGTGCCTTAGGCACTATGCTAACTCCAAAAATGTGTTGTAAATCCTGACCTCTATGCCCAAGGCTATAATGCCATTTGGAAATGGGTTGTCTTTGTTATGTTAAGGAGGCAGGGTTAATACAGGGTGTATTTTGACTGCTGCTTCCATCGGTGTTGATTGTAGAACCAATTAATGTGAAATCCTTGACAACTCCTATCTTTTCTCCATTTATCATGAAGCTGTGAGGATTTTTGTTTTCTTTATACTGAGGTTTAATCCACACTGCAGAGTGTGGTCCTTGATCTTCATCAGTAAGTGCTTCAAGTCATCCTCACTTTCACCAAGCAAAGTTGTGTCATCAGGTTGTATCGTAGGTTGTTAATAATTCTTCCTCCAATCTTGATACCATGTTCTTCTTCACATAGTCCAGATTCTTGGATTATTTGCTCAGCATATATTTTGAATGAGTATGGTGAAAGGATACAACTCTGATGCATCCCCTTCTGGATTTTAAGCCATGCAGTGTCCCCTTGGTCTGTTTGAACAACAGCCTCCTGGTCTATGTACAGGTTCCTCATGAGTACATAAGTATTCTAGAATTCCCATTCTTCTCAATGTTATCCACAATTTGTTATGATCCACACAATCGAATGCTTATGCATAGTCAATAAAACACAAGTAAACATCTTTCTGCTATTCTTTGCTTTGAGCCAAGATTCATCTGGCACCAGCAATGATATCCCTTGTTCCACATCCTCTTCTGAATCCAGTTTGCACCTCTGGAAGTTCTCTGTCAATATACTTCTCCAACCGTTTTTGAATTATCTTCAGTAAGATTTTACTTGCATCTGATATTAATGATATTGTTTGATAATTTCCACATTCTGTGGGATCACCTTTCTTTGGAATAGGTACAAATATGGATTTCTTCCAGTCAGTTGGCCAGGTAGCTGTCTTCCAAATCTCTTGGCATAATCAAGTGAGTGCCTCCAATGGAGCATCCATTTGTTGAAATATCTCAATCAGTATTCCATCAGTTCCCGGAGCCTTGTTCTTTGCCAATTCTTTCATTGCAGCTTTGACTTCCTCCTTCAGTACCATTGGTTCTAGATCATATGTCACTTCCTGAAATGGGTGAAGATTGACCGGTTCTTTTGGTACAGTGATTCTGTATATTCCCGCCATCTTCTCTTGATGTTTCTTGCATCATTCAATATTTTGCCCATAGAATCTCTCAATATTGCAACTCGAGGCTTAAATTTTTTCTTCATTCTTCAGCTTGAGAAATGCAAGCATGTTTTTCCCTTTTGGTTTTCAAACTCCAGATCTTTGCACATTTCATTATAGTAATTGGTTTTGTCTGCTCAAGCTGCTCTTTGAAATCTTCTGTTCAGCTCCTTTATCTTGTCATTTCTTCCATTTGTTTTAGCTACTCTCTGCTCAAGGGCAAGTTGCAGAGTCTCTTCTGTCATCCATTTTGGTCTTCTCTTCTTTTCTCATCTTTTTAGCGATCTCTTGCTTTCTTCATGCATAAGGTTCTTGATATCTTCCCACAATTCTTCTGGTTTTCGGTCGTTGGTGTTCAATGCATCAAATCTATTCTTTAGATGATCTCTTGTGAAGCCTGAGTCCTAATAGCCTCCAGGGAAATCTTTAACCAGAAGCCTTTCAGTGTCGGGAATTCTAACAAGTCTTTTAATGTTGGGGATTCTAAACACTCCTCATGCCTCAGGGCTTTTACCTACCCTCCGGACTCAGCAGGTATCAGAGATTTCCTCCGGATTCAGCACGTATCAGAGATTTGCCTGGCTCCTGAAGTCTCCCACGTATCAGGACTCTGCATCCTCCCTAGACAATAATTCCCTAAGTGGACTTTGGAGCCGGGGGATTCCAACACGTCCCCAACATCTCAGATCCCTGCCCTAAAACCCCTTAGCAACAACCAGTCATCTGTACCCCTTTGCCCTGGTGCTACTCCACCCTATATTTTCCTATAAAAATGTGATAGTAACGGAGTATGAGGTCTTTTGCCTTGGCCACTGCGTTGGCAAGAGCAGGGACCCTAGCTCGAACTAGCTAATAAACTTTCCTTTTGCTTTTGCATTATCGTGTCTGTGGTGACTTCCTCATGCCGACATTCCTTTCTGAGCTCAACATTTGGTGCATTGGCCGGGAAGGAAAGTTTGGAAAGAGTGAAGTTGCTGCAATAGTAGGAGAGTTTCGGGAAGCCGGCAGGATTAGATGTCCTTTGCGTGGGGACCCTAGTCCATCAGAAAAGGCTGGAAACCGGCGGATGCGCCAGATCGGGAAACCAGCGGATGCACTGGATGAGTGGGGGAAGGAGCCCTTCCTCAACTCACAGGCAGGCTGTGGGCGCTTTTTGGTAAGAGCAGCCCACTTCAGGGGAGGGGGGAGGCCCCTCCAATCTGTGGTGCTGGAACGAGATCTCTTCTGGGTGTCGGATATTTGTGCTGTCTGTTTTGGTGTCTCTTGTTGTGTGGCCACTGTCTTTTATTTGTTCTGTGTTTTCTTAAAGGAGGTTGAAATGGGACAGAAACAGACTACCCCTCTGTCCCTGATGGTTGAACATTTTTCAGAGATTAAAACCAGAAGATCTAATTTGTCTGTGATAATTAAGAGAAATAAACTAATAACTTTTTGCTCTTCAGAATGGCCCTCTCTTGAGGTGGGGTGGCTTCCGGAGGGCTCACTGGATGGAAAGGTGATCGCAGCCATATTCGACCGAGTCCAGGTGCCAGGCCTCCGTGGGCACCCGGAACAATTTCCTTACATTTTAGTGTGGCAAGATATAGTGACTAACCCGCCCCCATGGCTAATACCTTTTCTTCCAAACCTCTCTGTTAAGGTATTAACATCCTCACTCGGGACTAGCAAAAAGGAGAAACTGAGACGACCTGGGTCCCAAGCAGCTGTTCCACCGGCCTTGCCTGATTCTCAGGGTGACCTTGATCTGATGGATCTAGAAAGCGGCGTATCTCCACCTCCCTATGCCCCTCCGCCACCTTTCCACCCTCTCCAGGTTCCACAAGTATCGGGAGGGAATGGAGCGAGTGCTCCAAGTGCACTGCCTGTCATTATGGGCCCAGCCTCTGGCCTCCGCCCATGCCAGAGGGGCTCCCAGGAGGCTGAAGCTCCATCATCTACTCTCCAGGCGCTGCCTCTCAGAGCGATTGGCCCGCCCCGTGAGGACGGAAGCAGAACCTGGCAGTACTGGCCATTTTCAACATCAGACCTGTATAACGGAAAGCGCAAAACGCCCCCTTTTCTGAAAACCCCCAAAGCCTAATTAATTTGTTAGATTCTATATCGTTTACTCATAACCCCACTTGGGATGATTGTCAGCAGCTATTGCAG